GCCATGGTGGTTTGATGCTCCTCTTGACTCATCCTCTAAGTTCCCTTTCCTCACCATCCAACCCTCAACAGGCCCTGGTGTGTGTTGTTCCCCTCTCTGTGTCCATGTGTTCTCATTGTTCAACTCCCACTTATGAGTAAGAACATGTGGTATTTGATATTCTGTTCCTCTGTTAGTTTGCTGAGGATGATGGCTTCCAGCTGCATCCGTGTCCCTGCAAAGGACATTATCTCATTGGCTGCATAGTGCTATGACTGCATAGTATTCCATGGTGTATGTGTACCACATTTTCTTTATCCAGTCTATTATTGATTGGCATTTGGGTTGGTTCCATGTCTTTGTTATTGTAAACAGTGCTGCAGTAAACATACATGTGCATGTATCTTTATAGTAGAATGATTTAGATTCCTTTGGGTATATACCCAGTAATGAGATTGTGGGGTCAAATGGTATTTTTGATTTTAGATCCTTGAGGAATAGCCACGCTATCTTCCACAATGGTTGAATTAATTCACATTCCCACCAACAGTGTAAAAGTGTTCCTATTTCTTCACAGCCTTGCCAGCATCTATTGTTTCCTGACTTTTTAATAATCGCCATTCTGACTGGCATGAGATGGTATCTCATCGTGGTTTTGATTTGCATTTCTCTGATGATCAGTGATGTTGAGCTTTTTTTCATATGTTTGTTGGGATGGCTTTTATTATTTTGAGGTAAGTTTCTTTGATGCTTAGTTTGTTGAGGGTTTTTAACGTGAAGGGATGTTGAATTTTCTTAAGAGTCTTTGCTGTGTCTATTGAGATAATCTTGTGGTTTTTGTTTTTATTTCTGTTTATGTGATGCCTCAAATGTATTGATTTGCATATTTTGGACCAACTTTGCAACCCAGGAATAAAGCCTACTTGATTGTTGTGAACTAGCTTTTTGATGTGTTGCTGTATTAGGTTCACTAGTATTTCATTGAGAATTTTTGCATATATGTTTATCAGGGATATTGGCCTGAAGTTTTCTTTATTTGTTGTGTTTCTGGTAGATTTTGGCATCAGAATGATGGATGCTGGCTTCAAAAAATGAGTTATGGAAGAGCCCCTCCTCCTCGATTTTTTGGAATTATTTCAGTAAGATTGGCACCAGCTCTTCTTACATGTATAGTAAAATTCGACTGTAATTCATTCTGGTCCAGGGCTTTTTCTGGTTGGTAGTGTTTTAGTACCGATTCAATTTTGGAACTTGTTATTGATCTGTGTATGGTTTCAATTGCTTCCTGATATAATCTTTGGAGGTGTTATGCTTCCCGAAATTTATGCATTTCTTCTAGATTTTCCAGTTTGTGTGTGTAGAGGTGATAATGATCGTCTCTGAGGAATTATTGTGTATCTGTGGGGTGGTGGTAATGTCCCCATTGTCATTTCTGACTGTATTTATTTGAATCTTCTCTCTTTATTAGTCTAGCTAGCAGTCTATCAATTTTATTTATTCTGTCAAGGAACCAACTTGTGATTTTGTTGATCTTTTGTGTGTTTCTTTGCATCTCAGTTTCATTCAGTTAAGCCGTGATTTTGGCTATTTTTTCTTCTGCTAGCTCTGGAGTTGGTTTGCTCTTGTTTTTCTAGTTTCTCTAGGTGTGATGTTAGGTTGTTAATTTGAGATACTTCTAACTTTTTGACGTGGTTGTTTAGCACTATAAGCTTTCCTCTTAACACTCCTTTAGCTGTGTCCCAGAGATTCTGGTATATTGTATCTTTGTTTTCATTACTTTCAAAGAATTTCTTGATTTCTGCCTGTATTTCATTATTTACCCAAAAGTCATTCAGGAGAAGGTTGTCTACTTTCCTTATAATTGCATGGTTTTGATGGATTGTCTTGGTATTGGTTTCTACTTTTATTGTACTGTGATTCATGAGTGTATATGGTATAATTTCAGTTTTTGTTTAATTTGTTGAGAATTGCTTTATGGTTGCATGTGTGGTCGATTTTAGAGTGTATGCCATGTGCACATGAGAAGAGTATGTATTCTGCTGTTGTTGGGCAGAGTGTTCTCCAGATGTCTGCTCAGTCTATTTGGTTAGGTGTCAAGTTTAGGTTCCAAATATCTTTGTTAGTTTTCTGCATCAAAGATCTGTCTAGTACTGTTAGTGGGGTGTTGAAGTCTCTCACTATTGTCGTGTGATTATCTAAGTCTCTTTGTAGGTCTCTAAGGGCTTGTTATATGAATCTAGGTGCTCCTGTCTTGGGTGCATGTATATTTAGGATAGTTGTCTTCTTGTTAAATTCAACCCTTTATCATCATTTAATGCCCTTCTCTGTTCCTTTTGATAATTGTTTACTTAAATTCTGTTTTGTCTAAAGCAAGATTAGCAACCCCTGGTCTTTTTTCTTTTCATTTATTTGATAGATATTTCTCCCTCCCTTTTCTTTGAGCCTACGAGTGTCATTGCATGCAAGATGGGTCTCATGTAGGTAGCATACAGTTAGGTCTTGCTTCTTTATGCAATTTGCAATTCTTTGCATTTTAAGTGAGGCATTTAGCCTGTTTGCGTTCAAGGTTAATATCGATATATGTAGATTTGATCCTGTCATTGTGTTGTTAGCTGGTTGTTATGTAGGCTTGATTGTATAGCTGCTTTCTAGTGTCAGTGGTCTATGTATTTAAGTGTGCTTTTGTAGTATCTGGTAACAGTCTTTCATTTCCATGTTTAGCATTCCATTAAGGACCTCTTGGAAGGCAGGTCTGGTGGTAATAAATTCTCTTAGCAATTTTGCCTGAAAAATATTTTATATCTTCTTCACTTATAAAGCTTAGTTTGTCTGTATGTGAAATTCTTGGTTGGAATTTCTTTTCTTTAAGGCTGTTGAATACAAGCCCCTAATCTCTTCTGGCTTGTAGGGTTTCTGCTGAAAGGTCCACAGTTAGCCTGATGAGGTTCCCTTTGTAACTGCCCTTTCTCTCTAGCTGCCTTTAATATTTTTTCTTTCACATAGACCTTGGAGAATCTGATGACTGTATGTCTTGGGGATGGTTGTCTTATATACTATCTTGCAGGGGTTCTCTGAATTTCCTAAATTTAAATGTTGACCTCTCCAGTGAGGTTAGGGAAATTTTCATGGACAATATCATCAAATATGTTTTCCAAGTTACTTGCTCTCTCTCCCTCTCTTTCAGGAATGCCAGAGAGCTGTAGGTTTGGTGTCTTTACATAATCCCATATTTTCTCCAGATTTTGTTCATTTTAAAAATTCTTTTTCTTTATTTTTGTCTGACTGGGTTCACTGAAATAACCAGTCTTCAATCTCTGAGATTTTTTCCTGAAATTCTGCCATGCTATTCTGCCATTAATACTTCTGATTATATTATGAAATTCCTATAGTGAGTTTCCCAGCTCTATCATATCAATTTGGTTATTTCTTAAAATGGCTATTTCATCTTTCAGCTGTTAAATTATTTTACTGGATTCCTTAGATTCCTTGGACTGAGTTTCAACTTTCTCCTGAATTTCAATGATCTCTGTTGCTATCCAGATTCTGAACTGTGTATCTGTCATTTCAGTCACTTCCATTTGGATAAGAACCATTGCTGGAAAAGTAGTGTGGTCATTTAGAGGTCATTTGCCTTTTCAAATTTCCAGAGTTCTTGCACTGATTCCTTCTCAACTGTTTTGGCCGATATTCCTTTAATCTTTGAAGTTGCTGTCCTTTGGATGAGGCTTTTTGCTCTTACGTTCTTTGAAGCCCTTGATATAAGTTGTGTTTAGTTGACCGGCTTCATTTCTGAATGACTTCAGGGTGCCAGGGCTCAGCTCAGCACTCCTGGGCTGTGTGCTATAACCTTGGTAGGTGGGACCATGTGCAAAGCTTTGTTCTCTGGCCACTACTGTACTGGAGAGGCTGAGATGTTCCTCATATACTGGCAACAACACTCTGATGGGAGGTGGGGCAAAAGCACTTCATCGTAGCAGTGGTGGTGGTAAGGTTTGCACACATGCATGCTTGCAAAGCAGTCATGGGAGACTACAAGTATGTTCACATTGGTAGGGGCCCATCTGCAAAAGCTCTCCTATGGCTAGGCAGAATCTGCCAGTGAAGGATGTATGGCAGTGACCACTGGGGAAGCACCCTGGTTGGGCATGTGAGGCTGTGCTGCAAGCGGGTGCAGCCAGGCAGGAAACCTGAGAGAGGCCAGCAGACAGGGATGTGCTGAGATCACACTGGCCCCATCCCATGGGTAAGATAGCCCTGTTCTGTTTAGGTTCAACAGTCAACAAAGGCCAATGCCACCTAGAGGAGCTTGGCGAGCCTTGGGGAATGGATGTCACTGGCCGTATTTCACTGCAACTCTTCCTGCACCAAACCCTCTTGGCTTTGCACAGGCAAGAGTCCTGTCCCTGCCAACTCTCCAAGCAGCTCTGCCTACTAGCTCAAATGTCTATGGGGGTTGTGGGGTGTCCTGCAGCTATGTCCATAGTAAGAGTGGGCCATTGCACTGCTATTTATCTCACCTCTTCCCCAGGAGCTAGTCAGGGCCTGGAATGAGTCCTGGTGCTCAGCAACCCCGTGCAGGCTTCCCAGAATCCTCCCTCTAGCCCAGGCTCAGCATCCTACCTCCATTCACTCTCAATGCCTTTCTTCTGAAGATCTGCTCAGAGTGTTCCAATCTTCTTGATGGTCTTGTCTCTTAATGGGAGAAGCTCTTCCTGGCTGTGTCTAGTTGCCCATCTTGAGCCCCTCTCTCTGGTTGTTTACTAGCTGAATAACTCTGGTAATTTACCTACCCTCTCTGTACCTCTGAAAAAAATAGGGATAATAATATTTACTTTGCAATGTCGTTGTAAAAATTAGAAATAATGATGTGGCACATGGCAAGAACCCAATAAGCAGCTTGTGAGAACAGCAATAAGCAATATCCAGTGTGGTAAACGGAAGTGGCAGGTGCTTAATGAGTGGATACTATTTTTGTTAGTTCATTTGCAGCATGGAACTGATTATGAGGATTATTTTTATACCTGGTGAAAGTGCATCATGTTCTGATCAGAGTTTCCCCAATCAAAAGCTTGGAGCCGACCAGAATTAACAGCCTAAAATAAAATAAACACATTAAAATAATATAAGAAAATAGTGTACATTTAAAGACAGTACAGAAGAAATATACAAAGAAGATTAACATTATGCCCCACTCTTTAGAAATGTAAGCTAAATTTCAATAAAGATTAAGAAAATAAGTAATAAAAAGTGATAACTCTTACCGTAATTCACAGAATTGGTACAATCTTTTACTCATTCCTGTATCTTTCCAATGAAAATCATCAGATTTTTTCATTTAAATCCAATGCCTTTAAATGTTATCATGCTGCACACAGAAATATTTTTTAAAGATGCAAAATTGAATGATTCTTGAATATCTTTGCTTCAGGAATTTTAATAATTTTTTTAAAGGCATTAACTATAAATTTCTTACATTTAAAAATTACTGCTATTGTTATTATACAACTTTGTACCTTATCCTCATGATGTGGTCTAAGCTGTTATGATTATATTCCCTATCCTTAAACATTGTTTTCACTATTAAAAGAAATATTCACCTACTGAGCTTTCCCAGTTGTGTGTGAGGTACATGGCTGCTGTCTGCCTCCCATATGCCAGGGCAAGCCACCTGCTGTGATGTGCATAACGTAGCCATGGGCTGACTGAGACACTGTGCATGACTACTTTTGCATTTTGGTATTGAAACTTCAAGTATTAGAATATAAGGACATTCATATACACAGCATTTCATTTTTCTGTTATTTGCCACCCACGAAGGATCGATGAGGCAGATAACTTTTACATTTATGTCAAGCACTTCATTAAATTATTCTCAGACTCTTCTGTGTTTTCCTTTCTTAGCTTGAATCTCAGATATTTTTCCCACTTACTAATTTAGTCCTGATTTTTAGTTTAAAATTATTCCCATCATGATTTATATTCAGAGAGGCAGCAGTCTGCTGCTGTTGAAATTCTGCGAGCTTTTAGAAATGGGAGGCAATAGGATGTAGTACTTAGGAACGTGGGCTCTAGGATCAAATCTGGTGATTTGGTTTGGCTCTGTGTCCCCACCCAAATCTCATCTCTAATTGTAACCCCTGTGTGTCAGGGGAGGGGCCTACTGGGGGTGTCCCCACCCAAATCTCATCTCTAATTGTAACCCCCACGTGTCAGGGGAGGGGCCTAGTGAGAGGTGACTGAATCATGGGGGCGGGATTCCCCTTTGTTGTTCTCGTGATAGTGAGTGAGTTCTCACAAGACCTGGTTGTTTGAAAGTGTGTGGCACTTCCCGCTTTATGCTGTCTGTCTCCTGCGCCGCCATGGTAAGACGTGCTTGCTTCCTTTTCGCTTTCCGCCATGATAGTAAGTTTCCTGAGGCCTCCTAGCCATGCTTCCTGTACAACCTGTGGAGCTGTGAGTCTATCAAACCTCTTGTCTTCATAAATTACCCAGTCTCAGGTAGTTCTTTATAGTAGTGTGAAAGACACTAATACACCTTGTTTGTATCCAGGCTTAATAGACTACTGAATCTGTGATTCAAAGCAAGATATTTGTGAAATGAGAATGATAGTAACACTATTTCTTAGGATTGTGAAGATTATGGTAACATCTATAAAGCATGTAGCACCTAGTAATACCCAACAAACAGCTTTTTTTCACTAGGATTACTACCATCATCATGATCATCACTTTTCCCTTAGCTGCCTATGTAACTTATAACCAAATATTTACCATGCCCCCACTATCCCCACTTATTTCTATCCTGAAGAGGATTTTCTGTCAAAGGGGAAAAGTTTTTCTTAAGTGAAGTCAATTGTAAAATGTATAAGGAATAGGCAGCCATACGCAGTGCTCACGCCTATAATCCCAGCACTCTGGGAGGCTGAGGTGGGAGGACTATTTGAGTCCAGCAGTCCAAGACCAGCCTAAGCAACAAAACAAGACCTCATCTTTGTACAAAGAATCAAAAGTTATCCGGGCATGGTGGTGCATGCCTATGGTGCCAGCTACTCAGGAAGCTGAGATGGGAGGATTGCTTAAACCCAGCATGTCAAGGCTACAGTGAGCCATGATTGTACCACTGTACTCCAGCCTGGGTACAATGATAGTACCACTGCATGCTTTTTTTGAGACCCTGTCTCAAAAAATAAATAAATAACATGCTATGACATTTGTAGAGTGGGGCGATATCAATGCCTTTACTAAAAAGTTGTCATAATAATTCAGTGAGACTGAATAAAATCACATGTATGAGCAGCAAGAAGAGCATATATTAAGTGCTCAAAAACTGTGAAATTAAACGTGTACTACCTTGGAAGGTCATGCTCATAAGAGGACTTATCTGTCTCCTCATCAGTAGGAAGCCCTATATTCTGAACATCTTTCTTCTTAAAGGAACTTGAAGCCTTATATCCTGGAGGTCAAACTCTTCCAAGTATTTCAGAAATTCTCACCTAGTATTTCAGGCTATCTATAGTACTGATTGTCTAAAACAGGGAGCAAATTTGTTAGGGTATATATTAAAATGCAAATTCCTGGGGGGGTCTCAGATATATTAAACCTTTAAGAAGACACCAACCCTCTCCCAGTCATAGAATTATTTATATTTTGTTCACTTTTCAAAAGGCGTTGTGACTGCCATCAGCCAAGAATATAGGCAAATATTACATAATAAACAAATGAATGTGCGTGCACATGTGTGTGCATGCATACACGAAGACACACACAAGGCTCAGAAAGTCAAACCAATTAAATTAGACTTATCTCTGAGGTTTCTGTATATTGAGTAACAAAATAAAACAAATAAAACTTTAACTGAGGGTAAAAACATAAGCCATAAATCCATTTTAGTTCTTCCCTAGCTTTCAGTTTGCTCTGAATAAAGCATCATTTCCACATTCTCAAATGCCCCATATATTGATTGGAGGATGAACAGCTCTTTCTAGAATAAGATGCATCATTTTATATAAAGTTCTATTAGAGTTGATGACTTTCTGAAAGAGGAAATAAAAGTCTTCCCTTGAAATGCAGTTTGGAATAATCTAAGGATCAGAACTCAGTCAGAATATCTGAGAACCATGCTCAAAACCCAGACACTGAGGACAAGGAGAAGAAGTGGGAATGAAGTAAATAAAAATGAGGAGTTGATGCTGATTCCAAAAACATCAATGTGACAGTGGCGGGTGCCTGCAGAACCCTGCAGTGAGCTCTCTGAGAGCACTCCTTGAGGGTCTTGCAGAGGTATGTGTGCATCAAGCAGGAATAAGACAGAGGTATGTGTGCATCAAGAAGGAATAAGAAGCACGTACCTGGGCCCAGTGCAGCATATTCTGAACAGATGTTCCCGCAGGATTGTGTGACAAGTAAACATCCAAGCGACTCTGCAAAGAGATTACTTCTCATTTAGAGGCTAATCATATTATCATACCACAAGTAAACATTTGAGAGAAATTTAAAATGTTTCTTCTTTTCCTCTTTTCCCTTTCTTTATTTATTTTTTTATTTTTATTTTTATTTTTGAGATGGAGTCTCGCTTGTTGCCCAGACTGGAGTGCAGTGGTGCGATCTTGGCGTGCTGCAGGCTCCACCTCCTGGATTCCATTCTCCTGCCTCAATCTCCCGAGTAGCTGGGATTACAGGTGTGCACCACCACGCCCAGCTAATTTTGTTTTTGTATTTTTAGTAGAGACGGAGTTTCACCATGTCAGCCAGGGTAGTCTTGATCTCCTACCTGCCTTGGCCTCCCCAAAGTGCTGGAATTACAGGTGTGAGCCACCGCGCCCAGCCTCTTTTCCCTTTCTTTAAGGAAAAAAACATGTACCATATAATCTGAAGACATATTAACCAAAGAAGCCCATCTTAGAAGAACTTTTTCCTCCACCGACTCCGTCCTGTCCTCAAACCTACAGGGGGAATCCCATTGGGCAAAGACAAAAGGAAATCTTTTTCCAGACTCAACTCCCACAGGTTCAAGGGTATAGGAGATTAAAGGATAAAAACCCCAGTGATCTTCTCCTTCACCCCATGTTAAGTCCCAAAGGACATTCAAAGGGAGCTGTTGACCCTAAGGTGCTAATAATAGATCTGAATGTTACCTTTTGTTTTCTGAATTTTAAAATGTGGTAAATATTCTACAGGACTCTGAAAGTTTGTGTGGCATAATTAATTCAGTCGGTTTATTTAGATATCTTATGGATAAACAACCACACACACACACAAGAACAAAAACAAAACACGCACACAAACTCTTGATTCTCTTATATTTTCAACTGCACTGTTTTTAAAATAAGAAGAGTTATTTTCAACCAAAGTAAGCATCAGAAACATCTTAGGGCTTTAAAAATATTTTAACCTACTTATTAAGCTATCCAAATGTACTGAATACAAATCAAAATCTCAAAGGTTGAGTTCTGGACATGTGTATTTTTCCAAAGTTCCACCAATATTACTTATGCACCCCTGGTTATGGTTCTTTGAAACAAATGTCCGTGAAGGTGCTGTAATATTCTGTAAGCCTTGCTTTTTGGCAGGAAGACAAAAGGTGATCTGAAAAAAGGTGTCCATATGGACAGCAAGGGCCAATGAATAGTCAAGGGTGTTATTTTGTGATGTCTTTCTTTAGCAAACTCTTAGGATATGCTGAGAGGGTGCTTTTAAAATACACTCGTTTGTGTTTGTTTCAAGGTCTTTTTACTCAGCTCTATCTACATGATATGCTTTCCCCTATATATATCCTTACATCTAAGTGATAGGCAAGCATAGTTTCCACTGTACATTGAGAAAGTGAGAGAAGAATGTAGAAAGGCAGTGGCTAAGACATGTTTTGCATAAAAAGTCTTTTATAAATCTTTCTTGAAAGCAAGAAATATTTTAAGCAGTGCTTTCCACTGACTGGAAGATTAGGCTCTGGGCAGAAGTCTGTGAGAGAGGTGGAGACCAACTTCAGCCTGATCCTACCTCTGGTTTCAAACACATCTCCTCTCTTTCCCTCCTCCCTCCCCCAACTCCTTGGGTCATCATGGAAAATATCTCAGTTAAGTTAGACATTACTTGACAAGAACGCTGACACTGATCCTTCTCAGTACCCCTTGAACAATAAATTTGTAGCTGTTGTTGAAGAACCATCTCTCCTTTTATCTCTTTGGATTAAGGAAGTAAGTGGTTCATAAAATAACTTTCCAAATCAGCTGTGAAAGTGGAAAATTGGTAAAAATAAAAATACAAATGTCTGGACTCATCCCTTGATATTCTACTTCAGTGAATATGACATAAGGCTCAAGCACAGCAAGATAAATATCAAACCCATAGCCTTTATCTAAGTGAAGGACGTTTCAGGTAAGAAGAGATGAGAATTGTTGGCAGTAAAGCTTTCTTCTCAAATCCTCCTGTGAAAGCAAGTGGACTCTCAACCCTCACTGGAAGCCATGAATGTACTGATGACATTCCAAAAGCAAAAAGGAAACCTCGAATTGCAGTTGCCATATACTCCAGAATGAACTTTCATCACCTCTGTGCAACAAAACAATGTTTTCCCAGACCCAATTACTTACACTTACCATATTTAAGTTTTGCGGATCAAATCCACTCAGAGTAAATAGGAAGTTGCTGCAAATACGATGGAATAGCTTCCGACTGCACACTTTGGTGGCAATGAATTTGTCAAACAATGTATGAGGGTGGAACATTTTGTCACCAAACAACACCTACAAGATAATTTAAAACCATCAAATCTTATAGACGTGGATATCAAAAGTGGAGAAAGAGGTAGTTCAAAGAAGGACTGCACAGTATTAGGTGACATCTGCTCAGTGTTGGTCCTTAGTGAAATCATGAGGCTTGTTATTAGGTATGTAATCCTTCCAATGCACCTCTTAATGGCTTTTCCCAAAAGCCCTTAATTGGGGTGTTTTTTAGAATGCCCCTTGAGAAACTAGTTCCCACAGGAAATTTGTAAGGCTTTGGAGTGAGGCATACATGTGTTTCATTCTGGATTCAAACACATTCTATACCTTAGGAGAGTTTTAAATTTCTATTATAAATTTTCTTGTCTATAAAATGGAAAAATGTTCTTATAGGCAGGGCTGTTGTAAAGTTAGTAGGTTGTGTTTAAAAGACAATTAGTGCAGTTCCTAGCATCTAGTACACATGAAAATATTATTTAATTAAAATATAAATTAATGTAATTATTATTACTGTCACAATTAGTGACTCATACAGATTTGAGCCATTCCTTCCGGAATCCTTTAATGAATTCTTTCTATAGACAAAAGCTTAACCCACATAAATGAATCTTTACTAGTGGAATTTCAGGCAGTGTTGCCAGCAAGTTCCTTTGCGTCACAGCTACTAGTTTTATAATATTAGCATAATAAACTAGATATAAAGTTAAAAAGATATTTTTTAGTTCTTAAAACTTTGGAAACACCCATTTACAGTAAAAATAAACACACATTTCTTCTGGAATTCTTTATTAACCAGATATTACAACTAAAGAACAGTAATAACTAGCATTTATTCACTTAAAATCTAATTCACTTTAAGATCTTATACTATATCTAGAAAACTAGATCAAGTAAATTCCTACTGTTCATAGCTTATTAAATTCTGAGTTTAAAAATGATTGTCTTATATAGGCAGATATAATCTTTATTTAATGGAATATTTGATATTCCATGGAATATTAATGGAATATATGAAGTACCAAGATTTCATACTCCGCTTCATGCCCAAGAGAGGAAGAGAGGGATAGAGGCAGGGAAAGAGGAAGGGAAGGAGGGAGAGGGAGAGAAGATGGAGGAGGAAGAAGAAGAAGAGGAAGAAGAAAAAGGGAAGGGAAAGGAAGGACAACAATATGTTAAACTACTTCAAACCACACTTCTCAATTATTTAGGTCTGGAAAGTAATAATAAGCCTTATACATATTATCTAATTGATTCCAGACTCTTCTTCATTTTATCACAATCACTAGGACACTTAGATAATACCCTAGATAATTAATTTAACTTGCCAAATTGTAATTCTTCCTGTGTAAATGTCCCCATAATAATTTAATAATAGTAGCAGCATACACTCATAAAAGGAGCATATCTTTTAAAATAATGTTGACATTTACTTCATGTTTTCAAGTGTGACAATTTAAATAGATTGTCAAATGAATAAATAAAGTAAAAGGCAGGATCTGACTTTAACCAGTAAACAAATTTATTTTTATTTATCAATAACTTAGTCATCCATGCTTGGCAAAACAAATCCATGTGAAAGAAAATAGCCAGTTCATAAAAGTAATCAACAATGAAAATGCAGTGTTAAGAAACAGGTGACATCTACCGTAATGGATTCTTGGTTCTCTGTTCTGAAACCTGGAGTTGGCTTTCCCAAATACAGAGTAAATTAGCAGGACATTCTCTGACTCCACTCTACCTCAATATCCCATGACTCAGCAAAATTACTATGCATTTACCCAAAGGCGAATAATTTCTCCTTTACCCTAACCTAAAAGAGAGGATATTAATGAGGCCAGCCAGTAGGAGAGCACCCATGTACACAGTAGCAAACATGCCAACTTGTAGATGTAATTCCAAGTTGGCTCTGGAGGAGGCATGTTTGTCACATAACAGCAGGGAGCCAGTCTCCTTCTAGTAGCTCTTTTGGTATGTGTGAGAATTAGAAAAGGCACCTCTCTTTATGGCAACATGGCCCCATGCCAGGGCACATGGCTTGCTAAGCAGAACATGGGCTGGATTCAGCCCTCAACAGCCCATTGAGCCGGTCACCCTTGTTCACTAGCTTCTTCAGGTTGGCATTGAAAAAGTGGAAAAACCACCACATATAAAAAAGACCATTGGTTGGGTTGCCTGGTCACATCTGGGTTCAAATTCTGGCTCTGCCATCCATTAGCTGGGTGACTTGGGACAGGCTGCTTAGCCTCTCTGAGCCTCAAGTTCCTCTTTCAAGAAATGGAGACAGTACTAACAATCTTTAATGTTGTAGAGACACGTCAAAAGCAAAGGATCAAAGCAATCTATAAGTCAGAAAGAAAGTAGAATGACAAGAACACAAAGGCATAAAAGTCCAGGGGAAAAATGGGATGTGAGGAAGGGGAAATGGATGAATGAATTTCTCAACTTGACAAACTCTACTCATTCTATCAATGTGAAAATTGAGGCTTAGCATGGTTAAATAACTTGTCCAAGGTTACAATTGGCAGGAGGCGGAGGCAGAGTGTGAACCCAGTTTTGTCTGACTTAAATCTTTATCCTCTATACTCAATTCAATTCAACTCTCATGAATTGAGTTGAAGTAATAGAAATGGAGCAATTGAAAATACTGGCAGCATCAATGAAAAAGGAAGTGCTAATCAGAGAGAGAAAAAAGGTTGTCTCAGTCCAGAAGCTCCCATATAAAAGGAACCCTTTCACCAAGCATGCCTGCGAGCATCTGGCTGATGGGAGAGGAGAGGAGAAAGAAAGTCTCTTCCTCAAAAAGTCAAAAACATACCTAAACATTGTCTATCATTTCATTGTCATATCTTATAGATTATTTTTTGTTGCACAACTCTTGTTCCAATCCCCAGTATCTATCAACTGATGTGTTAACAATAACTCCATCATTATTCTCCTAATCTTTCACCCTTCTTGATGTCCTTTACCCCCATCTGCTTACATTTGGTTCCCAGGGGAATCTTTCTAAAAAGGGGCATTATGCATGTCATTCCTCTGTGCAAATATTTCCATGCTCCCCAATTACCTATAGAATACATTCCAAACTCATTAATTTGGCACTCAAATCCCTTTATAATCTGCCTCTACATTTCCAACATGATTTCTCATACTCTCCTTTACTAATACTAATATAAAACTCCAGTAAAGTGAGTTATGTGTGGTTTTCCATGACCTGAGCTTCACCACTTCAATGTTGCTCATGCTTCCCTCTTGCTTTGGAAAGCCTTTCTATACCACACTCTATATTGAAATGTTATCCTTAAGTGCAAACTAAAATGCCATCTTATCCAAAAAGTCTGTTGTGATTCCAACAGCTAGAAGTATTTTTGCTTTTCTCTGAGTTTACCTAGCAAAGTTTTTGCTCTATCATTATAATACTGGAATTTCTACTAGGAATTAGTAGGTCACATGTGGCAGTTCTTCTGTTGGTACATAGTTACTCTACTGGAGTTATAATTTAGAAAGGGCTGAGAATGACGTTTTCCAGCTGCATCCATGTCCCTACAGAAAACCAAACACCGCATGTTCTCACTCATAGGTGGGAATTGAACAATGAGAACAATTGGACAGAGGAAGGGGAACATCACACACCAGGGCCTGTTGTGGGGTTTGGGGAGCGGGGAGGGATAGCATTAGGAGACATACCTAATGTAAATGATGAGTTAATGAGTGCAGCACACCAACATGGCACATGTATACATATGTAACAAACCTGCACGTTGTGCATATGTACCCTAGAACTTAAAGTATAATAAAAAAATAAATAAATAAAACAATAATTTTGAAAGGGCAATCTTTCTAAAATTACAAATTTGATCAAGCCACTTTTCTATTTAATATTCTTCAATGGCCTTCCATCATTAACAGAACAAAGTCTAAACTCCTAGACATGACACTGCTTTCTTCCATTGTCTCCTAATACCTCCTTAGTTGAATCCCATTCTACTCTCACATACACCCTAGTTTTTACTCATACCAATGAGCTGAAAAGTTTCCTTGTAGACATAGCTGTTTCCTAATGCCAGGGCCTTGAAATAGTAGCTCCTAGATATCTTTTGGCTGAATTAACTTGTACACCACATCCTACACATGTCAGGGAATGCAGTAAGTTTAAAGACAGCTATGCAAATGAAGAGGAATGGAAAGATCCCACTGTCCTAAAATATCTCTTAATTGTGTGGGAATACTGAAATAATTTAGCAAACAGTCTGACATTGTTTACTTAATAGCAGGAGCAGGCCAGAGTGAAGTCTCAATGGTATAAGAGGCCCAGGTACCAACAGGCAATGTAAGCATGTTGTGTTATTTTCAGGTGGTTTTTCTGCTACCCATCTTTCTGGGATGTATAGATAGGCACTTCAATCACCATAGACTAATTTGTTTAGCTCTCAACAGGAATCTTCTGTAAATCTTTGGGCTTCTATCAGAATTGTTTCACTTTCATCTGCTTTCATTGAAATCACTGAACTGTACAATCACCACCGTGGGAGTTATTACCATGGGAGAAGCCCATGTTAAAATACAAGAAGAAAACACACCAACCCATGCAATGCAATTCACCTGGACTAGATAAACGATCAGATTATTTAGCCGTCAACTAGAGGAGATCAGGGGGCCCAGAGTTTTGCCTGGGTTTTCGGAATTGTCAAAATGACAGCCTATAAAGTGTCAGGAAATGAAACAAGGTTGGGCATTTAGTGATGGAGGAGGGTACGTTCTATAAAACTAATGATAGCCAAAACAATTGTTAACATTTATTAAAGGTTTACAGTATGCAAGACATTGTTTTAAAGTATATGCTGTATTAATTCACGTCGTCCTCATGGTAGCCCTATGAGTGAGAAGTATTATTATCCCCACGTTACAGACGAAGAGCACTTAAGGTCTTGACCAGATTTACCCAGCTCACAAATCATACAAATGAGATTCAAACCCACACCATCTGATTCCCTGCTGTGAACTCAACCACTACTGCCCCTAAAAAATTAGGGATCACCAGAAAAATTTAATCCGCTAAATTCAACAAACCAATCAATCAAATAAGCTCTCTCTATCTGTGGTTGAGGAATGATACAGGAGACATGTTTCTAGACATAGTTGAAGAAAGTAGGATAGATTAACAACAGGGGGAGTTCCCTGAACTCTGCTAATAAGATTGCATACATCATCAGTGAACTTACATGGATTATCTTGAATACCTATTATTTTCTCAGAAGTTTGTAAAATGTCATTGGTTTCCTGTTGAAATCAGTGGAAATAAAGCTACTTTTAGTTATTTCAGATTAAAACTTGGGAAGTCACATACCTTGACTACTTGCCTGGAAAGAGTTGTTAGTTTTTTCATAGGACTTCGGGTGTATTTCAGTGTGACAACTGGAGCCAGTGCAAAAAATATCTTAATCCTTTTAGCCAGTTCTGGGTTTGTAGAAAATGCTATAAAAGCTGAAATGGAAGAAGACACTAGTTCATAGTTTTCACATAATTATTTGTTCATTGTAAGTTGTAGTAAATGTAGCCATATTAAAAACAAAACAAAAAACAACATAGAATTAATACCATTTGTAGAGAAGAATTTCTCAATTTCTCAAGGGTGGAATTGGCTAATTCAGAATAAAGTGTTTCCTGTCCCTGGGGAATGCAAGGAGAGAGGGTTCAAATATATACTGTGGGGCATGTCTAGGTAAACTCCAAAGCCCATTCCAGCTTGACGATAGTCCTGGTATCAGACAAAACTGGGCTGTAAATTTGGCTTCCTATTTACTTCCTATTTCCTACTTCCTATTTACTTCCCTGTGTGAGTCTCGGTTTTCTCAGTCTGTAAGTGTGAATGGTAAAATCCTTATAGGATGATTTTTATAAAAGTCAAATGTATGTAAGTTATATGCATTTGACCTTTATAACCTTTGTGTCTGTAATCTTTATTAAACATATGAAATGTAAGATGTTACTTGGGAATATCACCATTGGAACAGATTGCTCAATTCAACCATTTGTGGAGCATGGATGATAGTGGTTTCAGATGTTTGCAGTTTCCAATAAAAGAATGTATGTGAGATGTGTGATGCAGTACAAGTATGTACAGACCTGCTTTACACCAGAATCCTGATTATAATTAAGATATAGAAAACGGACTGATGGAAATCCTGTTGGTAGTGTTAAGGCCTCTAGCCAAAGTGAGAACAGTAAGGGGACAAATAGGCCTCATAACACTGCCAACATAGCCCTACCCACATCTGGCCTACTCCAATGCCTCCCTGGCAACTAAAAGTCATACTGATTGTAGCATATAATTGCTGAGTTTTGTAATCTCTGCTTTCTTTCTAGTGTCCCTCACTAGACTGTGAGATCTTCAAGGAAAGAATGAATACCATATTTATCTCTGCTTCCTCAGCATATAACAGTGTCTGACAAATGTTTGTTGGTCGCACAAATGAATATATGAATAATTCTCCCTCTTTCAGGCTTATCTATCAACCTCCAAATTTAGTGTTGAGGGAAAATTCCCTATTGTCATTCTTATTTTATTTACTCTTCAGAAATTAGCCAGAGGAAATGGTTTCCCAAGTCAAGCCCCCAAGCTAGAGATTGCACAGACAGAAGAAATACTGACCCCCTTCCATGAATATGCAAGAAGAGCCCCTGACATTCTCTGAGCTCATCTGCCCCAAACACACCTATGGTGGTGCCTTGTGAGTGACCCACGTAGTAGAGTCGCTTCTGTCCTGTTTTCTCTATGATAAAACTGATTGTGGCTGGAAGGTCATATTTAGCCATCTCATCCAAACTATCAAAAAGAAAGAATAACAAATTAGAAAAGTCATCTCATTGTTAGGCCTAGAACATTTAAACACATTCAGTGAAAACATAAATACTTTGATTTTGTTAAATATAGACTAGTGTCAATATATGATATTAGGCATCTATGCAACTTTAAAGGGTGCAACACCTTGATTGCAAGTCAACATTTTAAAGAAACTGAAATCAGAAAAATTTGATTTGTCAAGGCCTACTGATGCTTTTCTTGCAAGGCTAGTCATATTCACTTAATTCTATAACAGGTTTACCAAGCTCCTCTGAAAAGAGCAATTACCTGGAATGCTTATCTAAAAGAATAATAAAGCAAACAGATTTGCAGACCTCAGCCAACTGACTGAATCACAATTTCCTGGGAAGAGACCCAGTAATCCGCATATTTAACAATGACCTCAGTTACTTCTGATACTGTATATAGTTTAATAAATACCTAGGGAATTTTCTAGTCATTTGCAAGGGTGCAATGGATTATGGTTATAGAATTAGGAAATGCCAGTGCTTTCCAGAAAGAAGGCTGGCAATGAAGCCAAGGAACACAGGGTTTTCATGACCTCCAAGGCATGGTTCTTAGCTCCTATGCCAGTGCATGGGTTTGCTACTGTAACCAGGTAGGCATAGCTTCTGAAGCAGACAGCAACCCCTGGCGCTGCTGCTGGCAACACTGTTGCTTAGCCATTCTGTAATCAGGCTTTCTTCTTACTTCCCTTAGAACATACATACACACACTCACCCACACACAGATACCAGGAAGGAGGTAGGAATTCTAAAACAGTCATGCAATAATAATGACAGTTCTTTAGAGCCTGTGAAGAAAGTCTGGGTAGAGAAAGAAAGATTTGTTTCCTTCTTGTGGATTCCACTGCGTGCATTTGGACACAAAAAGGGCAAAAATCACTAGGTGTTCATACATACACATGAGCAGAGTACACACTGTATTCGTTAATAGGTTTCTCCTTACCTGAAGGCCCAGTATTCTGGTGATTCGGGCGACAATTTAAGGTGTTTTCTGGACCAAGTGTTTCCTCGGCTGTTCCCCAACCACACATCATAGCCACTATCTGCCAGAAGGAAAGCCAGGCTGTTGTTGGGCAGGTTGCAAATCCAGTTACTGGCAGATGCAATTAAGCCATGCTGCAAATACACAGCAGGCTTTGGAGCTGCAAAACACAGGCAACAAGAATTTCATGTCTGAACTTCCTCAGTGCCTACAAGAAAAATCTCATTCCTGAATTTCTGTAGTATAGAAGAGAGGTTAAGGGGTAAAATCTGATGCCAGGCAAATCTGGGATCTAGTCCCTTCTGAGCTACTTACTTGGGTAAGTTATTTAAGTTCTCTCGGTCTTATTTTCTCATTTGTAAAGGGTTATATATAATGTATTGTATTATTTATGTGTGGAAGTTAGATTGCCCTAGTTCAAAATCCCTTCTGATATGCATGAACTCCTTTGTGCCTCAGTTAACCTATCTGTATAATGGGAAATAATAACAAATGCTATCTCCTCGTGTATTTATAAGAATTCATTGAGAAACATATAAAAGGCCATCTGGCACAGTAAATATTAGCTCTATTACTGTTATTTATATTAATAGCATTATATTTTTCAAGACTCATCTGATTAAAAATTTAAATTTTTTTTGAAATAATAAAAAATAATACAAATGCCATTTGTTGAATGCTCACTGAATGTCAAGCACCATGCTAATTTTTATAGGCACTGCTTCATTTCATTTGAATTGCAAAAAACAAGGATATAAGTAGAACTTTATAGTTTAAAATTGTTAATATGATACAGAAGTCCTATTCCCAATGTCAAATAGGGACATTTTAACTAAGAAAGAGAAAGGAAAAAGAAGGAGGTGAGAAAGTGTTGAAAAAGAGAGAAGAGAGGGAAGAAGTGATTAGGCTTTTCCTCTGCTTTATAAATGGTTTGTGATGCTGTGTTGGTATCTCAGGACCCTACCTCAGGTCACTTTTGGAGCTAGAGTGGCTTCCTGAGAGTAAGTTGTACTCTCAGAGAGCCTTCAGCCACCGGGACCAAGGAACTAAGAATCTATGTCCATTTTTCCACCTTTTGGAATAGAGGGAAAGAAGAGGTGTTACTGACTTTGCCAAAGTTAAGTACCATTAAATAGTTAAGTATCATCAGGCCTCTGTGATCTGAGTCTGAGACAGATCCAGGGATCTCAGATTAGAGAGACAGTTTCTCATTGTACAGCTTTTTGTCTCATGCATTTTGGGAACTGTGATAGAAATGACAAGAGAAAAGCTTGGAGAGACTTAAAAGTTCTCTCGAGTATTTACAAAGTTATTTGTAATTATGGAGTTATTTTGGGAAATGATTGGCTCTGTAAAGCCAGCAACACCATTATATCTTCCACTCTTTAAAAATCTAGTTTTTCTTTAAATAAGTAGTCTTTCTGATATTGAGAAGTTTTGTTATTCGACCTGCCAAAGTATAAAATGAACTAAGAAGAGAGAGAAGAAAACAAAAGCAAATCGTTTCTAGAGAATGAAATGCTCACTTTTTTCCACCTATGGATAGCCACCTGCATTGTAGGGAGCTAGAATTGATGCTTTAATGAAGTTTAAGCACAGAACTGATAGGAATGAATAGGGTCTTTTTTGCAGAGATTCCTAAGGATACCTGAGGCTCTATTTTAGAAAAAAAACAACAAAAAAATAGAATTGGTTTTTTAATTGGAGGCAAGGGCAAGTGGTGTACTCTAGGCAGTAAACTATCCCTCTAGGCTGAGAGCTAGGGCTGAGCGTCAGGTGGGTCTCCAGTTGCCCATGCTCCCCTGCACAGCTGCCTCCCCAGCAGGATGTGGGGCAGCCACAGGAAGGGTAAGCTGAGAAGTGCTGCCGTGGACATTCACTTGGGCAGGACATCAGAGGACTCAGATACCAGCTTCCCAATACAGGTCTCAGTCTTCTTCACAACTATGGCCCTGCAGGAGCTGGTGCGGCTGAAAGAGCCGGAGCCCCCGCCAAAGCCAAAGCTGGACTGAAAGGAGTCCAGGCCATAGCTGAGGCCAGAGCTTGTGAGGCCGAGCCTAGTCCACCGGGTTAGCCACTGCTGGTACTCCTATGGATACCCCTGCTCTGCTTCCCAGACTCCAGCGGGCTCTCCTTGCCCTCCAGCAGCTTCCTGTAGGTGGCGCTCTCGATGCTCAAGGCCAGCTTGACATTCATCAGCTCCAAGTTCTGGTGAAGCTACGGCGCCCCGTCCTGTTTGATCCGCTGCAGAGCGGCCTCCAGCTCTGCAGGCTCAGCGTTGAGTCCTTAAGGGCAAACTCCCCACGCTGCTCCGCATTCTCTGGACTTTGAGGCCTTCAGTCTTATCCTGGAATCTGGAATCGGCTGATGTTTCGGTTCATCTGGAAGATCCTCTTCTTGCGATACAGCTCATTCTCAGCCTTCCCAGCCAGGGCCTGCAGTTCCTCATACTCGATCTGGTGGTGCATGCTGTCAGACTTGGCCCAGCTGCGGCTGGCGATCTCCTGGTACTGGGCGGATACTTCGAGATGATGCCGTCCATGTCCAGGACTCGGCTATTGTCCATGGACAGGCCCACAGATGTGACCGAGATCTGGGACTGCAGCTCACGGATCTTCTATTCTCCTGGGGCAGCCCTTCTAGGCGAGACTACTTGTTCTGCGTTGTTCATGTAAGCTTTATCCACATCCTTCTTGATGAGGAAAATTCATTCTCCATCTCTGTATGCTTGTTGATCTCATCCTGGTACTTTTGAAGTCCTCCACCAGCCCCTGCATGTTGCCAAGCTCCACGTCCAGCTTCAGCTTCTGGTCCCATGTGTCCAGCTGCCGCAGAAGGTGGTTGATGCAGCTCTCCATGTTGTCCACGTTGATCCCAGCTGTCTTCTGCTGCTGCAGGCTCCACATGGTCTCCAGCATCTTGATCTGCTGCTCCAGGAACCACACTTTGTCAATGAAGGAGGCAAAGTTGTTCAGGGTCTTGATCTGCTTCTTCTCCTGGATGTTCACAGCATGGATGTTGGGATCCACCACCAGTTTTAGGGAACTTAGCAGACTCCGAGTCACAGTGATAACTGTGATGCCTCCCATACCACCAGCCCCAGCATAGACCTCACCCAGACCCATACTGGTGCCCAGGCCACCCAGAAAGCTGCTGCCCACCTGAAAGAAGCTGGAGGAACTGATACAAGCACTGGGTATACTTCTGTACCAACAGCTGCTGAAGGCGGACTTCTAGGTCACCCTGATGGACATGGTGGAGGCTGGAGTGAAGGCAGGTAGGCTCAACTAGATGGTGATTTGACAAGCTGGGAAGCTGTTGCTAGGTGGGAGCTAATAGGGTAATATTTACTTTAAACCATGAAATCACACAGACTTGGGTCCAGAACTGACTACAAATAGTTTAATACCAGTGAGAAGGCATCGTAGTAGTTGAAGACATTATGTCCAAACCTGGGTTTGAATGATTATTGAAGCTAAAAGTTTTCAGACTAGAGAGAAATTTAGAAGGCAAAATTGATAGATGGTAATGTTAGGTTGCATGTAGAAGGTGAGGGAGAAGGTGGTATCAAGAATAACCCCTAGGTTTCTGATTTTCAAAACAGGACAGTGGTATCACTAGGGTAAGAACACGATGTGTTTTGGTGTTTGCTTGGTAGGAAGACGAAGTCAAGAAGAAAAGGAGTGACCAAATAAACAGTGTATATAAAAGTGACTTAAAACTTCAAAGTTACACTAATTAAACAGAGAGGTGGAAGGTGATGATTTTTCTCCTCTAATGGAAAGGACACTAAGGATTTCAGAACAGAAACTGCTTGACTTCTCCCAGGACATCTAAGTACCTCTGCTTTAAGTATTATTTTTCCTTTCATAACAAAATAAATAATACCTGTCCTCCCTGGGCATCCTCTTCCATGTGGAATCCTATAAATTCCAAGGATATAACCATCTTTTGTTGTAACATCATACTCTTCACAAGGATAACCCCAGTAAGAAATAATCTGGCTCTAAAAAGAGGAAAGGAAATATATACCTTCATTTTATAATCTCTTAATTTTTACACATGCATTACAATATAGTACTTTGTTTATTTGTTTGAGATGGGTCTCACTCTGTTCCCCAGGCTGGAGTGCAGTCGTGTGATCTTGGCTTACTGCAGCCTTCGCCTCCTGGGCTCAAGTGATCCTCCCACCTCAGTCTTCCAAGTACCTGGAAGTACAGGCACCTGCCCCAGTGCCCAGCTTAATTTTTTGTATGTTTTTATAGAGACGGGGTTTCACCATGTTGCCCAGGCTGGTCTTGAACTCCTAAGTTCAAGGCATTCATTCCCCTGCCTTGGCCTCCCAAAGTGCTAGGATTATAGGTGTGAGCCTCCATGCCTGGCCACAATGTAGTACTTTAAATTGCACCTACTGCTTATCACTCTATGTGCTGTGACGGCATGTAATATTCCTATGAGTATAATTTAAAAGGGATTTCTAGGAGTTACATAAAGAGGCATAGGTAAGTCTGGGTGGGGTGACCCTACATTCTTGTTTGCTCAGGACACTTTCTGGTTTTGCCTGTTGGCCTGGTATTATTAAAGCACCCTAGTTTGTTTTGATGAAAAATTATATGGTCATCTAATGAGGGAAACCACAGGGAATTGTGGAGTACCCTGTGGCTAATAACAAGTGAACTATTACTAAACAGACTTAAAAGAAGAGGGAGGAAGCAGTTACCAGAAGCCAAAAGGAGAAAGTCAAGCTGAGATAACCAAATTGAGGAAGACAGCTTGTCTAAGTTGACTTCACAGGGAGGAAGCCAGGGCAATAAAAAATCAAACCTTACTGGCCTATTTCTTTCCATCTTCTGCTCACAATGTCCATTGGCTGAATTGAACTGAAAACCAAAAGACAAGGTTGCTTGTTGACCTGTCCTTACAGTTCAGCCTCTTGGCAGAGAGAAAGGTGTTAAAGAACAAAGAGTGAGCTTAGAGGGGTCAGAGAAGATACCCCACCCACAGATATACGAAGAAGAGGAGAACTAGTGATTATTGGTTATCTTCTGCATAGAGGTTTACATTCCTTGTCTCATTAACCTTATAAGAGGCCTTTGATATAGAATTGTACCATTTACAGTTGAGAAAACTGACATTCAGGTAGATTAACAATTTGTCCAAGATTATATACTAGGAAGAGATAAAAATAAGATTAATGCTAAAGTAAGTTTAACTCCAAAGCTTATGCCTTTATCAAAGGATTATGCATTTTCCCAAGTCAGACACAGAGATGCGTGTACAAATTATAGGCTACATAGAGCAGCGGCGAAGAGCCCAGGCTCTGGAGACAGACTGTGACATTGTGAGGATTATATGTAATATGTGCAGAACAATGCCTAACATAAGTGCTTTATAGATGATTGTTCTTATTATCATTATAGAAGGATTAAAAGCTAAAAATCACTTATACTAGAGAGAGAAAAATTATGTGAGTTCAACAGTGTGGTACGAGATCAGGGGTACTTGCTGGATACTTTGGAGAGAGAAACAAGAAGAGACACTAGTGAAAAAAAACTTTGGCAGTTTCATTACTTTTATGATTCTAATACAACTTGGGTATGGTACAGGAAAGCAATTGTGCACCGTTTATATAGGAAAATGGAGTATATTATCAGAATGAATTCTGTAGTAGATATTTGTCATTGGGCCTTTTTTTCTTTGCCTAACACTATTCCATTCCACTTCTGGTATGAATTCCTGAATGTTAAAACACTTTGGTAATAAACAAAAGAAACCAACACTGGCTTGTTAAACCAAAAAAGTGCATTGGGATAGTTCACAAAATCAAAGAAACTTCTCTATGAAAAACCTCAGGGAAAACTCAAAGATACTCTATAGAGATCATCTGTATTAAGTCATGAACCTTCTCTTTAGGAAGCCACCACTGGATGGTAGTTCAAACTAGGAGATGGAATATTACTGCCCCAACTTGGGTCAGATCTTTGAATTCTTAGATTAGTTAGCCATATAAAGAAACAGGAGAGGAAGCACAGATTTAGTCACTGGAGGAATTGTTGAAAACTGAGAAGGCACCCCAGTTGTATTTCAAATGCTGAAATATGAATAATTCCTCATTTTAGCATTTTTTCTTAATAAATGACTTACAATATTCATATTAGCTTCAGGGTTTGCGTTGTTTCCTTTCTTATCATAACCATACATAGATCCAAGAGGAAGCATCCAGCATGCTGCTACTAAAAGCTGCCACATTTGGGATCTGCCTGGGAAAGGAAATTTAATATATTTGTCATCAAGATAAATTCTATGAAGTGAAATTTGGTGTAATCTTTTTATAACACTGCTGTGAGAGAGAGCAGAAACATACTTCTAGGCTGTGCTTTAACCAGTAGAATACTGAATTATACAACATTCATTCCATGAAATATCTAAAATGACTTTTTAGTAAGAAAAGAAAAGATGGAAGGAAAGAAGAAAAGAGGGAATGAATGGAAAGGAACAGAGAAAACAATCAATCAAGTTTCCAGTAGATAACTGGACAAAAGAGGGAATAGATAATTTGTAGAAAAGAAATGTAATGGCCAATAAATTAATCAAAGCACATTTAGTATCTCTAGTTATTAGATAGATTGGTACTTTTTTCTGATGGTGGAGTTTGTCATTGGCAAAACCTTTATGAAAAAAATTTGTTAACATGTCTTATAAATTTAAAAGTGTTCATAACCTTCACTCAGTAATTTTGTTTTCAGGAATCTATCTAAAAGAAAAATGATGTATATATAAACACTCGGTATAAAATTATTTCTTATTGTATATATTAAGACAGTAAAATTTCCCAAAGTAAGAGACTGGTGACCTAAATTATGGGTGAGAAAAATGGAATTATTCAGTCATTAATATTATGCTTATGTGTGATATGTGAAAATTCCTGCTACATAATACATATGGAAAAACAGAATTCAAATTGTGCATATATTTTGAGTTCAATGATGACACGAACCATAATAGAAAAAAAAGCCTAAACATCAAATTTTAATTATAGTTAGATGATTATTTTCTCATTTTTAAAGTGTTTTTCACACTTTCTAAATTTTCTATATCCAGTATTACCTTATCATAAGACAGATATTATTATTTAAACTTTTTTAAAAATTGTGAACATTGTAGAGAGAAAAAGATTATGAGTATTTCTTATTTGTCTTTGAAACTACTTAAGTTTAAAGCAAAAAACAACTTTGCAAAAACAACCAAGGGGAACATTATTCAGGAGGACTTCTTTTTACAGTGACTTGTAAAATACAGATCTTCAAATTATTTTAGAAAATACACCCTCCCTGCTAATCTGTTTTGTTACTGTATAGTAATATAATATATTGACATCTAAATTAATACAGATTAATATAGTTTAATTCTGGTGCAACTCTATGGCAGCAATAATAATATCACCTTCAGAAGCAATAATTATTGCTATTACAACTATGTATTGAGCACCTATACTGTACCAAATAATGTGCCAGACATACATTATTTCATTTTATTCTCAAAATAATTCTAAAAGATAGGAAATATTGGACTGGGCATGGTGGCTCATGCCTGTAATCCCAGCACTTTGGAAGGCTAAGGCGGGCTGATCACTTCAGTCCAGGAGTATGAGACCAGCCTGGGCAATATGGAAAACCCTATTTCTAAAAAAAATACAAAAAATTAGCCAGGCATGGTGACATGCACCTGTAGTCCCAGCTACTCATGGGGCTGAGGTAGGAGGATCACCTGGGCCCAGGAGGTTGAGGCTCCAGTGAGCTGTGATAGCACCACCACTGCATGCCAGCCTGGGCGACAGAGTGAAACCCTGTCAGAAAGAAAGGAAGAGAGAAAGAGAGAGAAAGAGAGAAAGAAAAGAAAAGAAAAAAAGAAAGAAGAAAAGAGAGAGATTGAGAAAGAAAGAGAGAAAGAGAGAGAGAAAGAGAAAAAAAGAAAGGAAGGAAGGAAGAAAGGAAAGAAAGAAAGAAAGAAAGAAAGAAAGAAAGAAAGAAAGAAAGAAAGAAAGAAAGAAAAAAGAAAAGAAAGAAAAGGATGGGAAATATTGTCCTCATTTTATTTAAAATAAAACTGGGTCTTACAGAAGTCAAGTAATTTGCCCAGCATCAAACAGATGGTCATGGAGGCAGAATCTGAACTCAGGGTGCCTGACTCTTGGAAATGCACACGAAGACTGTCTTTTAACCATTCAGTCCATTCAGGCTGGTTTTATGGGGGCCCTCTGGCTTCTGTGTGTCTAATTAGTGTTTATCTAAGTATGGCCCATAGACCACAGGCATCATAATCATCATGAAAAACACTGAAGACTCTTAGACCTCACACTGAAAACTCTTAGACCTCACCACTGCCCAGCTGAAGAAGAATCTATTGTGGGGTGCCCAGGAATCTGCATTTTAAACCATCATTACGAGTGGTTCATACACATTCTAAAGTTTAAAAAAACAGCCAGACTGGTTGGATTCTTTCAAAAGAGAAACTTTCTCATTTTCATTTCTGTTTCTCTGAGACCTAGCATGGAGGTTTTTATAAATGCCAATAAAATGGATAGATGAAGGAGTAAATGAATACGTTATTTAATTTTTTTTTTTTTTTTTTTTTTTATTTTTTATTTTTACCCCTGAAACTGAGTTTCGCTCTTGTTGCCCAGACTGGAGTATAATGGCGCGACCTTGACTCACTGCAACATTCGCCTCCTGGGTTCAAGGGATTCTCCTGCCCCAGTGTCCGGAATAGCTGGGGTTACAGGCGCGAGCCGCCACACCTAATTTTTTGTATTTTTGGTAGAGACGGGGTTTCACCATTTTGGTCAGACTGGTCTCGCACTCCTTACTCCTGGTGTTCCACCTGCCTCGGCTTCCCAAAGCACTGGGATTACAGGAGTGGGCCACCGCCCCTGGCCATGTTATTTAATCTTAATGACTATGCCAAATTGACTCACTATTTTATATTACATATTGCTTCACTGGTTTGATTTTATTCCACTTCATCATTCCTCACCGAGAGTAAGCTTTGAATGTTGATCAGGTCCTTACCTTGGGATTATATTTTATGGCAAAGTAGTAGCGAAATGTGTAAAATTTGGTCTTCTCTCTCAAGGCTTTGACAGTTTACATGCTCTCATTTTTGCTGAGTGGTTGGCATTTTGAGGCCTCTGAATCACAATCACCGGTAAATAAACCTGGGGCCCTTGTGCTGGAGCAGATCCAGCTCTCTTCCAAAATGGCTAAACCTGTGGGTGTTCTAATGTTGCAGGGGAAGAGGGCTGTGAGCTAGCACAATGTGCTCCTTATAGAAAGAGCTGGGATCCAGCCCCAAGGGATGGCACAAGGATATACTAGCCATGACAGATTGCCTTTTGTAACCATGACATACAGCCCATCAGCTGCCTTTGTTTCACTCCCCTGTGTTATATGGATCTGGATATAGAAGGATGACACACCCCAGCAAGAGGAGTCTCTACGTGTTCCATTTAGGAAGGAGTGTCAAGTCCAATCTAAACAGCCTGTCTTCCAGCACCTCTTATGAGGGGTGTTCTTACCTGCTTTGCCTATCCAAGCCTTATAGTAGTAACTATAATTGTTGGGTAAGGGTGCTTGATTCAGGAACCTCTCTTAATAATACTCTGAGTTTTTAAATTTATTTGACCTGTTTCTGTGACAGCTCCCTGATGAGTATTGCCTTCTCATGTGTCCCACATCAACATTCTGCTGGTTCATATATCCTTATATTCTATATAATATCATATATCCTTATATCCTGGTTCACATATCCTTATATGCATTAGCATACTAGACTAAGAAATATAAAGATATTAGACTAAGAAATATAAGGATATTAGACTAAGAAATATAAGGATATTAGACTAAGGATATGCTAATGCATATAAGGATTTTAGAGTAAGAAAAAAGCAGACATGATAAATTCCAGGGGATTCTCAGTTTGTAAAGATGAGACCCTTGGTTGCAAGTACTCAGATTAAATCACAATAGATTATATTTATTGTATATTTTATTATAAATGTAATCTATAATAGATTATATTGATTTATCACTCTAAATCCACTTTTCACATTGCTGTCTTACAAAACATGACTCCCATAAAATGCTATTTGTATAAAGAGGCCATGGGTAAATATATGTTAAACTCTATATGTGTGTGTACATATTATGTATATGACTTCCTTGGAGACTCATAGACTCTGTGTGTATGTGTGTGTGTGCGCGTGCATAAAACTTGCTTGGATATTCAGACTACACACACACATACAGGCACATGTATGCGGATAGACTTATATAAATGCTATAAACATCACTTATTTGTAGAGCCTTAGTTTATAATTAAGGTTTGCTATAGTCCTGCAATCAAGACTCTATTTAACTTTATTTAACCTACTTTTCTGCAGTCTTTTTTAAAACTTTTATTTTGGATTCAGGGATAGATGTGAAGGTTTGTTATATACAGAAACTTGTGTCATGGAGGTTTTTGCACAGATTATTTCATCACGCAGGTACAAAGCCTAGTACCAAATAGTTATTTTTTCTGATCCTCTTCCTCCTCCCACCCTCCACCCTCAAGTAGGCCCCAAGGTCTGTTGTTCCTCTCTTTGTGTCCATGAGTTATTAAATGCTGGTTTAATATTTCTTTCTTTATTTACTATACCAAAAAAATCTATATAATGAAGGAAAGGCTAAAATAAGTGGGCAAAAATTGGAAATTTCTCCTTCAAAAGTTTCTTCAGGCAGATGCTCTACATGACTGTGGAGACAGCTGCTAGTTTTACTCAAATTTGGTTGGAATTTGGTTGGGAAAAGGTACATTACCTGCAAGACCCTCTTCCCATGCTCAAAAATCTCACTTCTCCAATAGTTGCTTTTTGTCTGCTCCCTGCCCCCAACCCCTCTAGCTACTGCAGTCAGTAGGAAATATGAGACTTTCAAGAGAATGTTGCCTTGACGTATGTTTGATTTTATATTGGGTTCATATATTGTACATCAAATGCATGTTGATTATATGTAGGCAGTTCTCATAAGTAATGCATTTTGCACTGACAAATACCTTGATGGTGAAATCAAGTATAGCAATTTCTCAACAAAAGAATATCAGAAGTAATAGAGACCTTAATTCCATTTTTCTTATTGCCCCGTAATAGGAACTATCAGGCTCATCAAGCAAACACTTAACAACAACTTATGGCAATGGTTGGAGAGCATTCT